CTTTCCAAAAAAAGTAACTAATGCAATTGGATACTTTTTTATGGAGTAACGCAATATTGTGATGCATTACTTTTAAAAGTAACTTTCCCCAACTCTGATAACAGAATGTGACAAAAGTATATCTGAATTCAAAGTACTCACAAAAAGGTAGCCGGATGACCTACTACTTCTGGTGTGATTATGAACAGTGTTGGGTAAGTTACTCTAAAAAAAGTAATTCATTACTAGTTACTAATTACATCTTCAACAGTATAATTAGATTACTGTAGAAATAAAGTATTACTTATTACTAATTACTTTCTAAATCCTATAGCAACCTCGACAAGTTAAATGATACAAGGATAGACATGAAACAGTTCTTTTAATTCTTTCAAGTAACTACATAAATTATTCTGGTCACACTTTAGATTAGTGTCCAATTCTCACTATTAACTAACTATTAACTTTTGCCTCAAAATACTCCTAATTACTGCATATTAATACTTAGTAAAGTAGTTGTTAAGTTTAAGAATTGGGTAGGATTAAGGATTTAGAATAAGTCTTTACAGAATAAGACATTAATATGTGCTTTTTAAGTAATAATAAACAGCCAATATCCCAGTAATATTCATGCTAATAACTAGTTAATAGTGAGAATTGGACACTAAAGTGTTACCAATATTCTTATTAACTCAACAAAGTATTTCAAGTGGGAAGGGTACATTAAAATGCATGCATTTTCCTTACCTAATTTTCAATTATATTTTTGGTCTGCCTTTTGACTTGGAGGTCAAGAGGAGTGTCGGAGTTAGGTCATTTATTTGATGACGGTCAAATGAGATCATTTCAGGAGTTAAGACAGGAATTTAATCTGCCCAGTAAAGATTTTTATAAATTCCTTCAAATCCGACACTTTTTAGAGTTACAGTTAAAAGAAGGTAATATACAACTTGATCTTGCTGAAATAGAAAAACATTTTTTTTCTTCATTTACTCTTACAAAGAAGATCTCTGAATTATATACAATGCTGTCTAATGTTGGTCCTTTGACTCTTTAAGGGTGATGTGGGAAAAGGACATAGGGTCTAGTTTTAGCAATGAGGAGTGGCTATCTGTCTGTTCAAATATCTTCCCCAAAAGTGCTTCAATTTCGGTTCACGAACAAAATGTTAAATTTTTTCACAGGTCTTATCTAACCCCAGTTCGCCTCCATATAATATTTCCCAATTGTTCTCAGTTATGCTTTAACACTAGAACCGCCAGCGGTCGCTGTATACCTAAAACCGCCAGCGGGTAAATTTTACCCACGCACATGACAACTGTTTTTATATGGCTAAAGAACATATTATTTCACTGTATTATGCCACTGTCTTCACAAAGAAGTGTCTAGAGTCATGAAATGATTAT